TCTCTCTGCACCACAGTTTGGGTCTTTCCCACTTCAGAAAACTCCCCATGCTCCCCTGGTGCAATCCTGGGCTCCTGAGCACATGTGCCAGAGCACTTGGCCTCTGACACTTGCCAGACACCTTCCTTTAGGGAGATGGACTATTTCACTCATCTTTTCCTGGAGTAGCAAGCAAGGGAATACAAGAAGTGTCCCAGGTCACAAAACAGGTCGGAGGGGCAGTGTCTGTGCTTAGAACTGAGCTGTAGGAAAGCAGTGGAGGGATGGGAGAGGCTGCTGTAACAGAGGACAAAGGCATCCAGCTTGTGTCCATTGGGGAGCAGAAGTGAAGCTTTGAAGGGACTTGAATGGATTGCAGTTCTTTGGGCAGAGGGGATGCACACACACATGCAGCACCTGAGTTCTTCAGCAGCAGCTGGCTCCTCTCTGGAAAAGCTCACCTGACAACTGTGCATTCTTCCCGTGATTTTACAGCTGCGGGAGGAGGAAGAAAAGCATCTTCAGTCCGAGCATCGTGTTGGTGACTTGAAGACTGCCTTGGATGATAAAGAAAGAGAAGCAAGAACTTCTTCCCAGAAACTGCAGGACCTCCCGTTGGCATCTTCCGAGACCAATCCGACCGTAAAACAACTGGAAGAAGACGCGCAACAGTAAGAGAGTAACCCAGTGAAGTGAGGGGTCTGTGGCTTTGGGGGACTGGGTGGAAACAAGGGGAGAGTCAGTGGGATTTTGAAGGACACTTCTGCTGTGGCTTCTGTTCCTTAGCACAGTTTGTCTGGCATTGGCTTTTCTGGGAATAAGACCTGTATTTCTTCTTAAGCTTTGCAAGTGGAAACAGCAGATTGGAAGCCACTGTCCAGCAGCCAAGCAACAGCGCTGAAGCCCTTCCGAGAGACCTGCAAGCCTCTGCCTCAGTAAGCTGGTCCTAAATGTCCCTTTTTGTGACTCTTGAGCCTAGTTGCCTGTTTCTGTGGGGAAACTGTAAGAGGAAGTTTTCCTGGAGAGCCTGGGGAGCTCAGTTTCTGCCTTCTCCTCAGCAGAGGCTGCTCAGAAAGCAGCCTGCTCCTTTGCCCAGCTGCTACAAAAGCCCTGAGGGTATTTGCTGTGCTGGACACTGGAGGAGATCTTAGATTCTAAATGAGGAGTTTCATCCTGAGCTCCAAGGGACCCAGAAGTATTGCTCCCAGAAGTGTCTCCCAAATTCTTAAGTAGGTCTAAAGTTCCTTCTTTCTGTTGGGGAATCTTTCAAGTGTTTTCTAGGCTCGTTTCCAGTAGATGATAAATACAGTTGCCATGGCCACCCCCTTGAGAGCTTTTCCCAGAATTCACTGCCTTTAGATCATGCTGAGTTCCCTTTTCTTTTTTTTCTTGCTGTGTCCAGGGTGGTGAACTTTCCCAGCAGCTGGACATGGAGCCTAGAACAGGCATGCAGCCAGAAGCCCAAAAGCAGGCTTTGCAGGAAGAGCTGTCCACTCTGCTTGGGAAGTGTGAAAAACTGGAGAAGAGCCAATGCCAGCTGCAAGAAGAGGTGACAAAACTCCATCATCATTTGGAGACTTTGGGGCTGGATGGCAGCGAAACAGAACAATGGAAAAGAGAGGTGGAAGAAGGAGCTGACCAGGAAATGAGTCCAAAGCACAACACACACTGCTCATGTGCCTCAATATGCTGTCCAGGGACTTCAGTTCCCAGAATGCTTCCCTCCCTATTCTCGGGACACGTCCCCACATCCTGGAATTCTGGCATGGCAGGCCTGGAGCACTCAGTGGGCATTTCTTGAGAGCTGTGGTGAGTCCCACCTGCTTGGGCTGGGATCCCACTTCATCCTGAGCCTCGTTTCATGGAAGTGTGTCCAGAGGCAGCCCAGTTCCAGGCTGAAGCAAAAAGCCAGAGCGGGTGATGCGGGAGCTGCTCCAGCGCCTACCACAGCCTCCGGCCCAGTGGGAGCAGCCCGGGCCCTGCCCTGGGGTGCCCTGAGGCGGGGCAGTGCCCACTCCCGCCGGCCGCCCTCACAAGGCCCAGGCCGCCTCCTTCCCACAAGGCCCAGCAGGGCCGCCCTCACTCCTGCCCCGCCCTGCCCTGTCCCGCCCGGCCTCACCCTGTACTGTGGCCTCTGTCACACCCCACGCTGACGTGCTGAGCGTTCCACCAGCCATTGTGACACCACAGGCACCAGTCGGGCACGGTTTTGTTGGTTCCTGCAGCCGGCGCTCAGAGCTGCTGTAGCCTCTCGGGGAGCAGCAGCACATCCCGCTCTGGGAGCATTGCGCGCCTGCATCGCCGTCTTGGCAGCTGCAGGCCACGACCACTGCACAGGGCGACCTCATCTGCCTTGTGCTTTCTACCCTGTGCCCGTCCTTATTCTCGTCCTTGTCCCCTTTGTCACCCTCACCCTTAACCTCGCCCTTGTCCCATTCCTCATCCCTACTTGGCGCCCGGCAGCCCCCCGCAAAGGGGCTTCTTGCACTTCCTGCTGCTGGGAGCTCCAAGCGGGGCCATGCCGTGGCTTCTCAGCAAGAAGCGACGGCAGTCGTCATCCAGCAGCACCAGTGGGCAGCCCTGGGCTACCACCAGCTCCACCAGCGCCTCTGAGCTCAGGGAGAAGAGGCTGGGCAGGCTGCACCACGTGGCCGCCCGCGGCGACCTGGGCTGGCTGAGGTGGCAGAGGCAGGGACACAGAGCCAGGTCCCTGCCCCACGCAGCCCCTGCTGCCCCCCCAGCCCCTCGCCTCCCCAGCTGGAGGCCCAGGCCCTCAGCAGGCAGCTGGCTGTCCCCACCAAACGTCTCTCCCACTTCAGGCGGGCGCTCGGGGCTCTGTGCAGGCTGTTCCGCTCCTGCACGGCGGGACAGCCCCAGGATTAGGCCCCGCTCCAGCGCCAGGCCGGACCTGGACACCTCTTAACTGCTTCCAACAGAGACACTGACTCCACCACTGACCTGCGACACTTATTCTGATACTCAACTACTCCTGCAGGGAATGAGCAAGACAGGACCTCTTACTCTCAGAAACTCCCTGCAGGATGACAACAAATATGATTATTTTAAAACAAACCAAAGATTGGTTAAGTCAGGCAGCTAATTTATGTAATTAAGCTAGTTATGTAATTAATTAATTGAATTATAATCATTATAATATATCTTTATAATATTTAGGTAGATTTATTAGGAAGATAGACTTACATAAGATAGATAAGACTATATTTAAATATCATAGTAAATATATTTATAGGACATAGAGATAGGTTCTTTCAGTTAGATGATAAGAATTATAGAAGACAGAAGATTAGAAAGATTTATTGTTAAATAAAATCTGTATTACGTAAAATCCGCCTGCTGTCACCAAATGGTCTCATTTACACCTTAATTCGGGCTGAGGCATCTCTCCCTAATGGGATCAGAACACAGGGGCAGGGACACCTTCCACCACACCAGCTGGCTCCAACCCCGTCCAACCTGGCCTTGGACACTTCCCACGGTGGGGCAGCCACAGCTTCTCTGGGCAACCTGGGCCAGGGCCTCACCTCCCTCACGCCCGGTGAGCGTCCATTGGCAGCGCGGGTCTGGCAGCTGGCACCAAGCCCCGGCACCGGGCTCTGTGCGTGTGACGCCGGAGAGGCGACGGGAGACACGGGGAGGGGACTTCTCGACCTCCCCATCAGCCCTGGCCCTCAGCACACTCTCCCTCAGACACTGCTGTCCATGCCCTCGCCCTCAGCCCTCACCCTCAGTGCCCTCGCCCTCAGCCATCGCCCCTCAGCCCTCAGCCATTGCCCTCACCCCCCAACTCCCTTTGAAATCCAGCCCGGGGCTTGCCCCGGCCTCACACAGGGAGCTGCCGCGCTCCAGCTGTCGCTCAGCACTGGGTGGGGATTTGTGCTCGCCCCAGGGCTGGGGGTTTGCAGCTGCTCTTTCATTCCCTTTTTAGAGCCTGCCTGTGAAGAGAAGCCCCCCAGGAGAGCAGAACCCGCTGCAGGAGCCAACATCCTCACCCTAACCAAGGGATGACACAGCACTTAGTGCTGCAAAGATTGGAGCTGTTCCCAGGCCACAAAGAAAGCTGAAACTGCTCCACTTGGCATTTGCTTGCCCATCTCGCTCTAAAATAACATCCCAAGATGTCAGGAGTCAAGACAATGACTTAGATTGAGGTGGACTGTGCTGGGGAGTCTTTTAAACCCAGCCTCCTGCCTGACCTCACTGCTGCTGCAGTTGCATGGACAGTGCTTGGAGTCTTTCAGTTGGATTCATATGTTTCCTAGAACGTTCCCGT